AAGCAGTCACCACAGTGTCACAGGTTGCAAGTGCCTACAAGTCATGACTGCCCCTATGTCACTGCAGTTGCTGTAGGGAAGAGGGGCCACCTACTCCCACTGGGTGATCCAACAGTCTGCTCTGTAAAGCTGCGAGGAAGGACTCGATCCTAGTTGTCTAGAATATCATAGATGCACTGAAGGCTACTAGCTAAATTAAATTCAAGAGATATTGTAAGACATTCAATTATGGATAATTAGGAAGGCCAAAATCATATCTTTGGAAATTTTTAGTAGGAAGGTATGTGGAAAAGCTGTTAAAGCTCAGTGCAATTTCAGTTCTTCCAAGTATATGACACTTGCAGACAGAATGGAGAAATACTTGTTGAACCACTGTACTAGGGGTCCAGCTACTATCAAAACAGATTATGAATACCATAGTCAAACAGCAATGAAGGGCAAACTTGTCTGAATCAAACTTTATTTTTCCCTTTGCATTGTCCCACTTCGTTGTTGCTCCAGTATCTTCACAAAGCACAGATTCTCTTAAATGAAGATGCAAGTGATAGTGAAAGCAAAGGTAGTTCCATTTTTATACCATTCACTAACCGTTTTGCTACTCCACATAGTTCAGTATCAAGAGCTCTTACTCCTGGGAAGTAGCATCTTCAGATGCTACTAAAATTGGTAGTAAGACTTTTCTGGATTGACTGTACAACGGTCAAAAAAAGGAACTTGAACATACATCTCTCTCTCTCCTACAGATAATAATGCAAGCAGTACGCTATTTCATATAGTTGAAAATACTTACATGCTAGAGTACTTTCATAAACTGTGTCCAATTTACAAAGCTGCAAGATGATAATAGGATGAGGTTCAACGTAGATAAATGCAGGGTGCTGCACCTTGGGAGAAGGAATCCACAGCATACATACAGGCTGGGGAGTTCCCCTCTTGAAAGCACTGAGGCAGAAAGGGATCTTGGAGTCATTATTGACTCCAAGATGAACATGAGCCGCCAATGCCAGACCGCAGCCAGCAAGGCCAGCCATACCTTGTCATGCATCCAAAGATGCATCTCAAACCGGTCCAGAGAAGTGATACTCCCCCTCTATGCGACTTTGGTCAGGCCGCAGTTGGAGTACTGCATCCAGTACTGGGCGCCGCACTTCAAAAGGGATGTGGCCAGCCTGGAGAGGGTTCAGAGGAGGGCCACCTGCTTGGTGAGAGGGCGGCAAGACAGGCCCTATGAGGAGACACTGAGGGAACCTGAACCTATTCAGCCTCAGCAAGAGGAGGCTGAGGGGGGACCTGGTGGCTGCCTACAAACTCAGAAGGAGAGAGCAACAGCAAATAGGTAGAGCCTTTTTCTCCCCAACACCACCTGGGGTGACAAGGAACAGTGGTAATGAGCTGATGGAGAATAGGTCTAGGTTAGAGATCAGAAGGCAATATTTTACAGTTAGGATGGCCAAAATCTGGAACCTACTTCCCAGGGAAGTGATCCTCGCCCCTACCTTGGGCAAATTCAAGAGGTGGTTGGATGATCACCTGTCTGGGGTCTTGTGAACCTGGCATTCATTCCTGCCTGTGGCAGGGGGTCAGGCTAGATGATCTGTTCTGGTCCCTCCTGACCCTAGCTACTATGAAACTATGAAGAAATGGCTTGTACAAGCTTCTCATGTGTCTCTAGTGTCTGATGGATGGAGCAATATTCACAATGAGGGTGTCATTAACTTCTTAACAATGCCAAAATCAGTGTTTTTCTTATTCCAATGCACAAATGAGCATCACAACCACACAGCCTAGTACACTGCTGACCAGTTAAAAATATCTTGAATCACTTTGGTCCAAAGAAGGTCATTTTGGCTGTGACCGAAAACGCTATGAATATGAAAGGTACTTGGGCTTCACTGATAAATAAGTATCCAAGTGATGCATCAGACAGGATAGCACTTAATTGTACCATACTGAGTAAGCCTTGTTGTACTCAACAGACATCCTCCATTAAATTTCTTAAAGCTTTTCAAACATGTAAGAAAACACATCAGTTGGCTGCTGAACAGCCAGGTATTGTCCTGAATAATCCACCCTGATGTTCTTCACGATGTTAATAATTTCACCACTTGAGCTTGTGACGCAGTCCAATTCAAAAGATGGAAAAAGATAAGTTCTACACTGCCAGATGCCTAGCATGAATTCCTGATCCTTAAAGAAATATATTTGCCAGAACACTGAACAAAGGTCACTCAGAAAGCCAGAAGAGAAAAAAAATAGACAAAAATATTATTTATCATGGAAAAGACCAAGTGATCCCTCCCACACACAACGCTGCCTACATTCTTGACCCACGTTTCCAAGACCATGACCTTTCTGATTCAGTTTGCAGCCTTATAGTAGCTGTTGCAAATGTTAAACAATATAAAAACAAACAAGCAAGCAGTTCTGGCAGAGGCAGCAAATTATAAAGCAAGCAGCAGCCCATTCACTCATAAAACAATGTGGAGTGCAATCCTAGCAGTTGAATCAAAACTCTATCAGAGTGGAAAGGGTTAGGTCTTCCTTTCAGTCTAGCTACAGGGGCAGAAATTCTTTAAACACTTCCCTGCACTGCTGCATGTACAGAACAAGACTAGTCACTTTGGGGAATCATCCATTCAAAAACCAGAAAGAGATACTGCGAAGCTGGTGACTGTGTATCACAATTTAAAGATGAGCAATGAAAACAGAAAATAAAGAGCTGGGTCAATATTCAAAAGAAAGGGAAGAGGGAGATACTGATGATGATGAAGCTGTAAGTAAAGCAGTTGATGCTGGTGATGATAACACAAAGCAAAATGCTTGGAGAGTTGGCCTGCTACCTACTTATCGTAACTGTATTTAAATGCAGATTTGTGTCTTTTGTAGTCCTATGTGCATTCTATTTCTGTTTAATTTCTTTGTATTTTATTTTGTACCTGTTGAGACTAATCCTGGAATTCTGGGATTAAAAAAAAATGGGAATAAGAACTTCCCAATCTCAAATGTTGTTTACATTTACACTTACATTGTTAGTTAACAATTCTAAAAAACACTGTAATGAACTAATTTCATCATTTTAAAATAAACTAACTTTTTTTGTAATTAGCATAAGTAACTAAGCTACTGAAGATTCAAGTCTCTCCCTTTACTGCTCTAATAAAGTAATGCTTAAACACTTGAAAATTACTTAACAATATTTGACTGGTCAACTGATCAAATGTTTTTTGGAATTTTTTGGACTAGTCAAAGAACCAACCCTAGCAAAGGCAGAATAGCAAATGGGAATGAGGACATGCTTAGGGAAATACTACATCTGATGCGAAACACAACTTAGATTGCTAACTGTGACAAAATAAGGGGGTCCAAATAATCTCTGTTCCACAATACTGAAAAAACAGGTTTTTCAACAAAACAGGATCTTCAACATTTTCAGCTCAAATACAGAAGTTTATGACTGAAAAAGAGCAAATATACTACCTATTCTTCTAAAAAGGGCAGGGGGCGGCTGCAAGGAAAAAGTGATTCAGGGAATTACAGTTCGTTATCTCAACTTCAATAGTGCATAACGCCTCAGAACAGATATTCAGAAAAGAATAGTCAAAGACATGGAAGTAAACAGAAAATGAGAAAATACAGTTTACCACCATCACCCCTTGCCCAGCAGCTCCCAAAAGGGTTGCAAGCACCATGTCTTGCTCTCCAACTCCTTCAGCAGCGGAGGGGTAAGACAAATATTGCATCAGGTGGTGCTGGTCCATGGGGTTCATGGCAAGCCAGCATGTCATCATGTCTGGCTCTGCAGTTCCCTTGAGAGTCAGCACTAGGCTTCCTCACATGTGGCGCGGTAGGATGTAGCATTGTAGGGATCAGGGATCAAATTCCGTCACGCCATTATTTCAATGCCTGTCAGGAGCCTTAGAAACCATCCCAGAACCGCACTAGGGGACCTTGCTTTTCTGTTTAGAATCAAACCAATCACCAGATTAGGGTCAGAAAGGAATTTTTCCTCAAATCAGATGGGATTATTTGAGAGCAGGTGCCTCTCTCCGTAATCGAAGACATAGTCCTCTTCCAAGGATCTGTAGTTTCCCTGGATTTGGCTGAGCACACAGCAGCCAAAATATTTAGTTTCTGCCATTGCAGTAGCACTGAAAGTATAGCGACATCTTTAACTCTTTGCTTACAAAACGTGCTTTTGCTTTGTGGTTGTAGTGTGAGAGTTTAAAGTAAATGACTTTTAGGACTCTTCAATGTCAAATAGCTGCCTGAAAATGCAAAGGACTGGACTCAATGGCGTTAAGGGCCTCTTCCAGTCCTGTACTTGTATGTATATAAAAGCTATCTATTTTCCCCTCAGAGCTGTGGATAGTTTGCATTCTAGACATCTTATTTAGCAGTATATATCTTCAGGAACTTTCATCTGATTTGTAAATATGCACCCAAAAATACTAACAGTTAGAAATGTCAGTTGTAGAAAACAGAAACTGAGTTTTTCCACTAACTTGGTAAGTATATGCAGTCCCAGAATTCATTGTTTCACTACTTCCATTTTACACTACAATTTTGATATTGTTATGGCCTCTGCGTCCACTCTTCACAGAATCTTACATAGGTATTTCTGGAATGAGCTTTACCGTATCATGGGGTCTAAACTGCAGCTCTGGTCCAAAACATTTGAAAACTACTATTCCAAAAAATTAAAGAATTCACATTAGTTCAGTGATAAGATAGCAGATTAATTTTAATAAATGGCAAAATGCCATGCTGCAAAAGCATCTCAATTATAATGGGCTCAATTTGCGGTTTCTTCTTAAGAGACACACATGGGCTCAGAGACCTGCAGAGCACAACGTAACTGGATATGCACATTACAGTGAGAGGGTTTTGCTGTTAACTGAAGTACTAACTACTAGCTGCTTCTAGGAGCAAAAACATAGATTAAATACATGAAAAGGCCATTCATGTTCACGTGAATTGGGGCACAAAAAAACAGCACTCACCTGACATTGAAGATATGTGAAAGAGATAACATTTTTCCTCAGACACACAAATTTGGATTAGGGCCACTTTTCCCACTTTTCCTTTAATGTATGATGGTGGCCATTCAACGTCAAACCCTATCACAGATCCGTCAGCTAAATTTATTCTGAAAAGAAAATAAATTTATTTAATTATTTTAAAAATTGAGTATTTTTGAACATAACAGCCACATACCTTACTTAAAAGTGAGGGATTAAAATTATGGGTAGTACTACTTTCACTCCAAATAAAGGAAATGGGGAAGAGTAGTATAGGACTAGGATTCAGAGACCTAGACAAATTGGAGGATTGGGCCAAAAGAAAATCCCATGAGGTTCAAATAGGATAAGTGCAAAGTCCTGCACTTCGGATCAACTGGGGACCAACTGGCTAAGCGGCAGCAATGCAGAAAAGGTCCTGGGGGTTACAGTAGATAGTAAGTTTAACATGAGCCAGTAGTGTGCCCTTGTTGTGAAGAAGGCTAACAGCATACTGGGGTGCATTAGTAGGAGTGCTGGCAGCAGATCACGGGAAGTGATTCTTCCCCTCTATTTGGCACTTGTGACTCCACATCTGGAGTACTGTGCCCAGAAAGGATGTTGACAAATTGAAGAGAACCCAAAAGAGGGCAACAAAAATAGTTAAAGGGCTGGAGCAAATGACTTATGAGAAGAGGTTCAGGAACTGGGCTTATTTAGTATGGAGAAGAGAAGACCTAGGTGTGATTTAATAATAGCCTCCAATTACCTGAAAGGTAGTTCCAAAGAGGATGGAGCTAAACTGTTGTCAGCAGTGGCAGATGACAGAACAAGGAGCAGTAGTCTCAAGTTGCAGCAAGAGAAGTTTAGGTTAGAAAAAAACTTTGATCAGGAGGGTGACAAAGCACTGGAACAGGTGGCAGAATCTTCACCCTTAGAGGTTTTTAAGACCCAGCTAGACAAAACCTTGGCTGGGGTCATATAGTTGGGGATGGTCCTGCTTTGAGCAGGGGATTAGACTAGATGAGGCCCCTCCCATCCCAACCCTAGTTTTCTATGATTCTATGCTGGACTGGCCCCATATGCCAGATCAGGACAGTCCAGCATGTGCGCTATGTACAGCAGCTGGATGAGTTTGAAACCACTGATATAAGCTATGTGTAAAGTCAGAGAGAATTCTGCTACTTGCTGAAGTGGTACTCAACTTTTCCAACATGCAGGCTGGATGAGCAAGGAGGAGCCAGCACATGCGTCAGATCTCACATGTGGGCTGAGGCTGTATGCTGCTCCAGGGCTGTGCACTGGGAACACCAGAGCCATGATAACTAACATTGCCATGGCTCCCCTCCACCAAATTTCTGAGCCTGTTGACATCCCCACAGGCCACATGACTCAGCTCTGCAGGTTGGACCTGGCCCACAGGCCAGACTTTGAACACCACTTTGCTAAAGAAAAGACTTTAGTATAAGCCAACATTTTCTGTGGTAGACAACTAACCCAGTCTCCATATAAAAACTGCATAATCATTATGAACAGGCACTTTCAGAGACATAAACCCTTCTAATGGAAAGATAAAGACACTTGAAGTAAATACACAGCTTTTACCTGATATCTTCTGAGAGAAAGGAACAATCGCTGGCATCATAGCTGTAGACAATGGAGCCATGGAACACTAAAAAAGGCAGGTCATCTTCCAGAAGACTCTTCTGAACATGAGACTTCTGTTTAACAGCATTTAAAGGAGGCTCTGTTACAAGGCACATTAAGGCACACTGCAAATATGTCTGTTAGCACTACAATAGCTCAACATGCCTTAAAGCCTTTTCTTGGCCACCACAACAAATCTAGCATTAGTTGTTACTGCTAAATAGTTTTCTGAACACTTACAAGTCTGCTGTGTTAGTCTAAAGTTAGGCAGAAGGCAAGGCAGGGTGACACCTTATAAACTAACTTGTTCAGAAAGGAATAAGCATTTGTAGGCTACTTTGGCAGATGCTAAAGCTATCACCTTAGTCACTAACACCCCCCCCCCACAAAACAGAGGTTGACTTGCCATATCTATAGCATCTGACGAAGGAAGCAGGAGCCTAAAAAGGCACATTTCTTTCTGGACAAGTTAGTCCAAGTGGTCTTCAGGCCAGATCCAAAGGCTCCTTGGGCTGTAGGTTACTGATCTGCAAGCTGGTCTATAAGGTACTATAAGTTATGCCATATGATAAAGTAGGCTGTAGTCTATGAAAGCTCATGCCTCTCTGAATGAGTGAATCTATCAGGTGTCACCTTGACCTGCCTTCTGACTTACAAAGCTTCTCATAGGTAGAGCTGATTATACCCCCTATTATAAGATTGTCTAACTGTTTTAGTAGCTTGTACTGCTAATAACCATGTGGACTAAATTCTGCATGCTGAGTATGTATTTTGGCTTTTTTTTTTTTTTTTTTTTTTTTTTTTTTGAGAATTTTGACCAAAATGAAACAGCCATTTCCACAAAACAAGACTAGCGGAAATATGTTTCTTTACCCATGTTATAAATTCTTGCAATTGTAGCCTTGGAAACACTCTAGCATTCCCATTCTTTAAAGAGCCCTGAACTGTATCAGAATGGTGAAAGGAAGGCCATCTAACTCTGAAGTGCTTGACATCGTAACCGTAGTAATGGTCTTAATATACGTGTGCATCAGTGAGGAGGTGGGGAGGCAGAAGGGGAGAGGGAGAGGGAAATTTACCTAGTTTATTAGAATAACATTTTTTTAAATTTGTGTCAGACAGGTGCTCTGAATCTTAAAAGTAATAGACATTCTAGTTGATTTTTCATCTCTAATCCACTTTACTGGCTTAGCATTTCTATTTTGCTCCTGTTTAATTTGTAATGTGCCACATAAAAGATCTGGCTCAGGTTCTATCTTTACTACAAAATGTTAATTGTTGAGAGTGACTAAAGAAACTAATAAAAGAAAAAGAGTGCCACTAATATAATGTTGAACGTGACCTTAGCAACATTGAGTCAATTGATTTAATTTTATACAAATATAATTTTGCATGGCTGCGATGAAAATGAGCTTCAGTGCTTTGGCAGCTAGCATAAAACATGGAAATAAGAAATAACTAGGTTTGAGAATAACACTGAATCTAAATCCACATTAGAAAAATAAACTATAGCACCAATAACAAATAACATGCAATTTGGATGCATTAAAAACTGTACAGATGGCAGCAGGTTTAAATTTACATTTACTGGGTGCAGTCAGGCCATACCCCATCCCCCACATCTGGATCGGGGCAGGGCCACACCCCTTTCCTGCACAGCATGGGCTGGGTTGGGGTCGAGCCATACTCCCTACCCTCATGATACCAGGCCATGCCCCCTTTCCCAGCTGTGCTGGTTTGGGGATAAGCCACACCCCCTGCCCTACAGGGCCAGTGGGGAGAGGGGCATGGCCCCTCTCCCCACAGGGCCAGGTTGTGGCAGGGCTGCCCCATGCCACTCTGAGTCACCGGATGATGTTCAGCATGCAGAAAAGGCACTTTAGAGGGGACATGACAGCAGTCTTCAGATACTTGAAGGGCTGCCATAAAGAGTAAGAAAAGCACCTTTTCTCTCTCGCTGCAGAGAGGAGGATGCGGACCAATGGCTTGAAGTTACAGCAAAGTACATTTAGACTGGGTATCAGGAAAAAACTTCTTCACTGTTACAATTTAATAATGTGCAAGGAAAGTTGAACATATATAAATGTGATAAAAGCTAGATATACCTTTTTTTCTTTTTAAATCTTTCACCCATCTTAAGAAACTAGACCAGAATGGAAAGTTTAATTTTCTTCCTCTACCACACAACTTCAATGGGATTCTGCTTTAGTTTCAACCATGGCATAAGAAGCACTTAAATAGAAGGATTTTGTTCTTGTTGTTCAAATAATTATGAACAAGTTTTCAGCAGTTTTTATGAAACTCTCACATTCACTTAAGAACTCAAATCCATGGCTGAAATTACCTAACAGTTACAAACTAAAAGCAATTGTTGAAGAGCAAAAAGAGAAAGTATAAGCCATCTATTTAGGAAACCCTTTCCCCATAAATCCTAGATAGATAAATTATAATTTGACTTTATATCTATTCACAAATGTTGAGAATAAAGTTAATGATAAACTGTTTTTGTACCATTTAAGGGAATGTTAAATCACATTCAAAGTGGAAACTGTGCAACGATTTTAATAGTTGAATTTATTAGTACCAGTCTAAAGCTATTCAACTCTAGCAAGCTCAGTCAGTTAACATGATATATGGATTTGTGTTTAACCCACCATAACGTGTGCATCTTGACTGCTAGCAATTAACTTTATTCTTATGCTATTCTGTTGTTAGTCACTGACAGAAAACCTGAAGGTTGAATTGTATTGTACTGTCAACTTGATATAAATTTCTCCCTTGACAAATTTACTGAATGCAGATAAGATGGATAATTGACCCATAATGTACATAATTATTATTAACCTTAGAGGCAAGCTATAAATGTTTAAATAATTAATAATACAGCTTAGAGATTAACTGAAAATATCTATCATTTTATTTGGCTACATTACGTAGCCTCAACCAACCAGACTTTCAGAACATGACATCATACCTTTTTGTCTCCCCAAGGATAGCCTTTCCTTTGGGAAGACATCCACTGTGGAAGTTTATGTTGCAGAGAACTCATTTTATTCATTCTCCTACATTTCTGTTACTGTTGTAAAACTGAAAAAAAAGAAAAAAAGTTACAGTAAATAATCAGTATAGAAAGGATTATTACTGTATTGGAGGATTCCCCCCAGACCTAGAGGGACTTCATTTAAGATTATCACCTAGGATCCAATACACAGTATAGGGGGAAGGGAATTTACATGACCCAGGTACATGCAGTAACTCTTCAGAGTTCTTCCACCTGCTACATGTGAATAAGAATGCATGGGAAGGGAATAGATGTATAATTCCTTCTGAGAAAGATAAGGTTCGGTTTAGCTTTTCTCACAACCTTACAAAAGCAAACAATTTCCAGTTATCCAGACAATTCATCTATGGTGTTAAGACATGAAATAATCTTTAGAAAATGTTTACTATATTTTTTTCTCATACAACACACACCTCCCCCCTCCCCCCCAAAAATCAGTCCCCCCAAATTGAGGTGCGTGCATTAAGTGGAAAAGCTGATTTTCTCCTTAGGATAGAAGCACACAGCTCCACAGTGCAGCAGCTGTGGTATTACTATTTAGGCAGCTAAGCAAGTCAATTGATTTAGTGACCCATTGTTCTTTACTTCAGAGGTATTACTGATAGTCTCTCCTTTTTAATGGTTTTGATTTCTACTAATCAAGCTAACCTTTCTTAGGGCATTTTTCTGTCTGCTAGACATATCTGGTCTTTCTCCTCCTATTTCACAGCCCTGGAAACTCTTTAGCTCTTCTCAAAATCACAGATCTATCCATGGAGACCAGTCTTAAGCAGGAGGTAGTGTTTGAGAAAACATGGTATATTTAAGCTAGTGATACACAGTTGTGTTACTTGGCTACTTAGCTTACTCAGTTTAATCCATGATTTGAAAGACATTCACTAAAACTCTCCCTGTAGTGGGGATCAGAAACTTTGCATTGGCCAGCTTGAGCTGTTATATCAGACTGCATGATGCAGCCCCCAGTCACTCCAAATTTCACTCATTTTTCTCTCAGTACCAAAGCAGATAGAGTCACAACAAAAATTATCAACAGCTGAACTCTAAAAGATCCTCAGTAGCTTCACCTATTAAAGTGCAATAGAAGGGCAAGTAAAAAAAAAGGAGTGGCAGTCCAAAGGGATGCAACGAAGATGATCTTAAAATAAAGAGAGAACTTCTAAATGGGAAAGAGGAAGAGTCTAGAGAAGGAGCAGCCACAGTAAACTAGGGGAATGAGGAACCAAAGGAAGTGAAATGCCACTTCTTAATACTCACTATTCCCAAATCACTTTTGTAGGATTTTTCCACCAGCAGCAAACACACGGACCTCTCTTGAAAGCACTGTGCAGACCTTCCTATTTGCAGGAGTGAGAGGTGCAAAGGCAGGTGAGTGCTCTCTCGGCTTCATATTTTAAAGCTGCCAAGAATATACAACAGAAGTCTGTCTCTGCACCTTACCTCCTCTGTCCCTGTCCAAGAATCAAGGAGTCCTAATGTTATATAGGACTCTGATGTAGAAGGGAATGGTATGTGTGAAGTGTACCTGTAGAAAGGCAAGACTTGGGGAAGTTAGAGAACTAAATCTTTCTTCTCTGAGAGCCCCTGTGCATTGCATCTCAAAGACTAATGAGCAGTGCAGCTCAGGTGAACAGTGGGAGGATTTCTTAGGAAAACAGTTTGTAATACAACTCTCGCAAACTAAGCATAAGTAAGACACTTAGCTGCAAGATCAGTGAATGGCAAAAGTATGTTCTGAACTCCGAATGGCTGTTTCGGAGGTCTCCACTACTGAGAGGGACCTAAGGAATGACACAGAAGCTGCAATTGTGCTAAAAGAATGCTCCTCAATGCTGTTAGCACTGGTAGACACAAATCTCTTGATTTACATAGACTTTAATTCACTGTCAACCCACCTGTGTTGAAAGTGGGCCAGCTTTGGCCCATAATGCTTATCAGTATGGCTCCAGAACTCAGGGGGTTAATGCTGCTGTAGCTCCCCCCCCCCCCCCCCCCGATTTACCCACCACTAGCCACTAAGATCAGTGGCAGGGAAAAGAGGGTCTAGTGGCAGTATTAATCCCTGGATTCAAGAGCTGCCCCAATACAACAGCTACAGCACCTGCAAGAATTAATGCGGCTGCTGCGGCTGCTCACAGGTCAGCTGGCAGGCAAGAAACCCCATGGTCCAGATTGCACTACCAGGGCCAAGTGAGTCTGATGCTCCTGATAAAGACTGCCTCATTAGTTCAGGGGCACACAAAATGTGGCCTGCCAGGCCATTTTATCCAGCCTGCAAAGCCCCTAAAATGTAGAAAAATTATATTTATCTGTTCCTCACTCTCTGTCAAAGCTGACAGAAGCCAGGGGCAATAGGACCCAGGGAAAGCTAGAAGCAGTCACTAACAAAACCAGCCCGGTCCCACCCCACCACCCCAAAGTCTATGTCTGCCACAGCTTTTACCGGCCTCCAGCACCAAGTGGTCCCCAGCTGCATTGCTGGACCACAGACCCTGCGGGTACCCCAGGGCCAGGAGGGGGAGGTGTGTGTGTTTGTCACTGCAATGAGAGAGGGAGGGAGAGCGGAAGGAGTGGGCGGATTGGAGGAAGAGAGTGTGGAGGGACCGGGGAGGGGGAGAGGCTGTGTGTGTGTGTGTGTGTGTGTGTGTGTGTGTGTGTGTGTGT